AACCAGAGACACTGTGGGAATTAAGACCTTGACTGGGGAGAGACAGGAGGACCCTTTGGAAGGCATGCGAAGGAGAATGGATGGAAGCCAAACATGAAATTGCTTCTTTGCAATGACTTGACGGGGGAGTTAGTGTTCCTAGGACATCGTGTGTACCTAGGAGGTAATGCTGCATTCATAAAGGCTGCTGAAAAACTTTAGGAGAAGAAGCATGCACTTCTTGGGAGTGAGGAAATATGGCCTTGTCAATACTAAGAGAAAGACCTCCAGTCTTGTGAACTTAGTTCTGGAGAGACTCTGGTGCCTTTGATCATCTCCAAAGTCAAGCCAGATAAGATCTTGGAGGTCCCACCATAGCTCTGTCCATCCGTCTCCTAAGCATGGGTAGAGACTGTGTGGGTCAGATGGCATGTTGGGTTTCCCAGTGCTTGTAACCAGAGCATCCAGTTAGGTGCTGAGAGGTAGGAAGATCGTGAAAGCGTTTGATCCTATTCTTAAGGAATTTATCAGTAATAAAGAGCTTATAATTAGCTAATAAGATTAGAAAACATGACTTAGCTGGAGAGTTGTCTTCCTTTCATCGTTTGTTGATGACTTGGCATTTGTGATGTGTACACCAGGAGCTCTGGTGTTCCAGATCCATGCCATTCACCTGGGATTTAAATCTCTCTGCTTATGTTGTTCATTTCCCCGGTGTTAACCAATATGTGCGTGATAGGACAAATTCAGTAAACAGGAAAACTTGTCTGTATTTGTATAGGCATCTTTAGTGCTGTTTTGTTTTTGTTTTTGTTTTGTTTGTTGATCTTAGAACTTTGCTATTGGCTTAAGAATGTAGTTCCCAGAACAATTTTTCTTACAAAGTTCTTTCCTTACACCTCTTGGCTGCAGGGTGGGCCAAATTAAATACATATATATTTTTTCATTTAATGTATGTGCAGTTTGGTTTATCATCTTCAGATGGTGGTGCTGCCGATGGTGCTACTTCATCTGTGTACAGAAGGACCAATGCATGGTCTGTGTTGCTACCAAAACATTTATTGTATATACGTGTATAACATATGTATTATGTATATATGTAATGGGTACCAGGCCAGGTATATATTTTTTATTTAGAAGTGTTTCACTTTTCTGAGTTTTCTTTATAGTGTTATGCTTATTTTCAATTTTTTTCCCCCTGATTCTGTCTGGTACTTAGAACTGTAGTGTCTTCATCGTTAATTAAAGAAAACTGTCTAAATGAATTCACGGATATGAATGCTAGTGATCCTTAATGTTTTTGGTTTGGGACATGAAACAGAAACTGCCAATTAAAAGTTGCTGGGGGATTTGGGTAAGAGTGGTGGACACTATTTAACATACTTCCAATTAATAAATGATTTTGGAACAGAGAGGTTTGCCTCACACTATCCCTCTTCAGTTGGCTTTCAGTGGCCAAGAGGATAAAGAAATAGACCTCTGGAAAGATTTTAAGCTGCTTTTGTTGGTGGTGGTAAAATGGGAAGAGGGAGTGGGGAGCAAAACTCCATCCTCCTCGGGTTGGAGAGATAGATGTTCTGTTGATAGGCCCTTTAACAGCCTTGTCAAAACCTTCAGTGTGCACATGGGTTCCCCCAAGAGGTTGTTCAAATGCAGATTGCCATTGAGGGTTTGTGCCCACAGGGCCAAGTCCAGAGGTGCTGATTCACTTTGGGGTGAGGTCTGGGCATTGGTCGTGGCTATGGGCTGGGCTGCCGCTTTTTACGCTCTCCAGGAGACTAGTACGGGGTCAGGGCTGAAAACCACTGTGGAGAAGGGCTGCCCAAACTTGTTGGATCACTAGAGTCACTTAGAAATGCTGATTCCCTGGAGCTGTCTAGGAATGTGTGTTTAAAAGGCGACTCATGGTGGGTGAGTGGGGAAACCTTGATTTCTGTGCCAGCAGAACCTTTTGGATTGTTTCACCACTAGAAGGGATAGGACACTGATGGTTTTTGAAAATAATAAGCCACCTTGCCAATATAGAAACAGCCAACTCCTCCCCCTTCTCCCAACTGAGCTTTCTTGCTCGAACAATTTAAATAGATGATTGGTGTGTCTTACATTGTTAGGGCAAACTCAAATTATTGAACATTGTGGAAACAGATTGAAGATTAATTTTTTTAATTTCATTTTTTTAATAAGCATGCTTCTCCACTGAGAGTAAGAAGCTTGAGTTTTCTTACTTGGCGCACCAGGCTAGAGGGGTCTTCCCTCTGCCCAGCGTTGTAAATGATATCTTCGTTGTTCCCAGGCGGCACAGAACATGATTGAATAAATGCTTGGAGTCATTATTTCATCTTCATTGTCTATTAACTGTGTCCATTTACTTTTAAAAGAAAAACAATGACCACAACTGATTTTTCCCTCCCAGTGGTATCACATGGCAAACATCACTCTAACCTCTATTGAAATCATATGCAGACATCAACTGTTTAGCGGTAATTGAAGGAAGTCTAGTTGGAACGAATCGGTGGTGCAACTTATAGTATAACCGTCTTATTGCCTTCTGCACGTATACAAAAACAAACTATATCAAGTAAACCATCAATAAAGGGCCTGCGAGAATTAATTATTGAGAATTTGGGATTATCTCTCTGGTTCTGCTACAAATAGTGACATTCATTCTGCATTCATCATAGGTTAGCTACCAGGATTCACGTCAATTATCTCACTTCCTCCTTCTAGTAACCCAGAGGTAGGTACTGTCTTTATCCTTCTTTCGCAGATGTGCAAGCAGAGGTGAGAAGGGGCATGTCTATGTCACCAGCTCCGATGCAACAGAGTAGCCTCTCCAGCGAGGATGGCTTGACAGCCGAGTCTGTATTCTCATCAGCGCTGCTGCAAGTCTCTGGGTTCCAAGTACTTAAATAAAAATTTAAGTTCTGTACACAAAAAGCATTTATCACTCCAACTGCCTTGTGTCATGAATTTGCTGAACAAGTAGGATCCCACAGGAGCCCAAAAGTGAAGCTCTGTTCAACCTACAACTTTCACCCTACAAAGTAACAGGACCTCATTAGGTGTGTTTCCAATCTTTATCGTTATGCCTAGCTTAGTTCATTTGTGTCAGAAATCTCTTTCTGATTCCCTATTGTTTTTCTCAATAAGTACCCCCCTTTACAGCAACAGAATAGAAATACTCGGCTTTATTTTAGGAACAAGGGCAGCAGGTGAAATGTGAAAGCCACATAAAACCCAAACCCCTGGGTTTTTAGGCATTAGGTTTTATGTATTAACTCTGTAAACAGAAGTAAATCAGAGCTTCTTAAAATCTCTGTTAGAGATACGGATGATAAATGACCATGATTGGCCAGAGGGACACACGTGAGGAGGTGGATGCCTGAGTCTCAAATGAACTGAAGAACGAGAACTTACCTGAAGTGAAAGAATGGTGGGAGCACCTCCAGTCCAGGAATTCCCTCCCTGGTAGACCCTGCAGGGGAGGAAAGAGTTTTCCCCCACTTTTGAGGTCCCTGAAAATTAAACTGACCAAGACAGATTGACGGGAGAAGAGCATCCAAATGTATTCAGTCTAAGTTTTGCATAACATGGGCGCTTTCCTAAGGAATGAAGACCCAAAGAAACAGCTAGATGAGGATGTTTAGGCTTGGTTTGATGAAAAGTGCGCAATTGTGGAGGAAGGCAAGAGGTTAAGGAGTCTGAGGCTATGGTAGTAAACAGGGAAACAGCAAAGCTTGTTAATTCTGATTATTCTCAGACACCCCTTTGTCTTCGGAGATAAGTACACTCTTTTCCTGTGGGTGTGGGGCAGGCACCACTCACATGAGGGTGTCATGACCTGTTTCACGGGAGAACGCCAGAATGATCTTCCTGCATCTGCTGTTTTCTTAAATTTCTTCAGCTTAAAATATATAATATGTCAAGGTGTCCTATTTTGGGGTAGCATGTCCTGAACCTCACCAATCCACAGTGCTTCTCAAAGCTTGGACTATACATGAACTACACAGAATTTCCTGAAGAGCTGATGCCAAATAGATTTTAACACAGACCTCCTGAGACTGTATTAGTAATCATTTGTTTCCCCAGAACACACATCTCTCCAGGGTTATTTTATACCCTGACCTTAGAGGAATGTGTTGTTGGTGTTCACTAGGCATTATCTTTTCTGATCTCTTCTGTATGTATAGACTGCTCCAAATCTCAAGCATCATGAGCTTAGTGGTAAATGTTAGAGAAGAAATGATATTGCTAGAGATCCTCACTGGGTCTGGAAAAAGCATTCTATAAAGTGGAAATTAGTAAAATTGGCCTAAATTTAGGTAGGAAATAGCATAAAAATAAAGGAATTAGGTAAACTTGCACTTATAGTATTATACAGCATTATCCTGAGTCTATGGAACAAAATCCTAAATGAAACAAAATATCCTAAAATATTAAGAAGTAGTATGTCTGATGGCATTATAGATGATTTTAATTTTAGCTTTTCTATTTTTCCATAAGTTTTTACAATGAGCATGTCTTACTTTCATAATGCAAAACAGAACAAAATATTATTTAAAAAACACAAAGGGGATTGGATGGGAATCTCAGTGAATCCCCACACATCTATATTACATCACACCATGCCATGATCAGTCCATCAGGGATCAAATAACTGTGGCCTGTAAGTCAAATCCAGCCAGCTGCCTGTTTTTGTAAATAAAGTTTTATTGGAACACAGTCATGCTCATTCTTTTATGTATTGTGTGTAACGCTATCACAGCAGAGTTGAGTAGTTGCGACCAAGACAAAATGGCCCCTCAAATAAAATACTATCTGGCTTTTAAAGGAAATGTTTGCTGACCCCCTATGACTGATGTTTTTCAAGAGAGATATTTGGGATGAGGCAAAGTTTTGTGCACTGGGATTCTGAAATTCTCCCCAATGTGCTGAAAGAGTGTCATGAAGCTCTGCAGCCACCAATATATTGCTGTTGACAGAGTTTATGATCAAATTTATCAGAGTTTATTAGCCCCTGTACAGTTGGTCACTGAGATACCTAAAGGACTTCTTTAAACTTCATTTACAAATCCTGAAATACTTTTATAGTTAGGCATATAGAGTTGAATTAGAGTAAATCTAGGATGATACTTTTTTCTTGGTACTTCTAGATTAACAGCCAAAAAAAGGGGAGGGGGTAGAAACCAATTACAGGTTGTGCTTTTCTGAGGAGGGTTGGATTGCCTCAAGAAATTCCAAATGGAATTCAAGGTAGATTTTAGTATCCTCAACCAATTGGAGAGACAACAAACAGACATCATTTCCCAGTCTCCTTTTCTAACTTGTCATCAGCTGCCGTGCTGAGAATTGAAAACAGTGCCTGGCACGAATTCCAGTCGGGAAGATAATACCTGGTAACCTACAAGACAAAGATAAGAAATTTCAGGATTATTGGATTAAAAAAGAAGAGCCATTGTTATAAATTGAGTCATTAGCTAGGAAGGCAATTCCTTGGGTATTTTTTAAAATTATTATAGAGTATTAATATTTTATTCATTCATCACACCCACAATAATATTGAGGAACTATTCTATGCTGTGTGTGAGAGATACCCTCGTAATGACACAGTTCTTGCCTCCTTGGAGCTCTCACTGCAAGTAATCTTAGATCTGGACCACTTGTTTTACGTATAAGGAAATTGTATTTTAGTCCCACTCTCATTGACTGTGACTTTATTTTAAAATTGAATTTATACCAGGTTGATTAAGTGGATTCCTTAATGCCCCCCACTCCTGGTGAGTTGGGGGGTTCTTCCAGGGGCCCTGTATGCAGTGTGTGAAGCTGCTGCACAGATTTGAGAAGTCATGACTTTCAAAGAGACAAGAAAACATCCTAGAATCACAAAGTGTTGCTGCTGGGTGGAGTCCTTTACCTGTCATTTGGTGCAACTTTGTATTCTCAGGTAAAGTCAAGAAACTGAGGTCCCATGAGTTCACAACTTCCCCTGGATCAGATACAGTGAAAACCCAAGTAACCCCCCGGCTCACCTTTACTGAGCATTTTGATACGTGCCTGTCTGGTCATGGATCAGCTCATGTGCCTGTGTAACCTTTCATCCAAAGGCTTGTAGATATTATATAAAACACCATTTTAGAGAGTAAAAAAAAAAATCAAAGGCCTAGAGAAGAACTTGTCTAAGGTCACTCAGTGGGTCAGTGTAGAGCTGGGAAGCCCAACTCAGTTCCAGTGAAGTCCAGAGCTTTTTTTTAAAGTGTCATAATTGAAAGACATGGAAACAACAACAAAAATCCATGTTCCTTGAAATCCTGTGAGGGTATCTCTCACACACAGCATAGAATTCACATAGAGTTTACATTTATGACTCTAGGTTGTCAGAAAATGCCATGTGGAAAGTTCTGTTTTTTAAAATTTTTATTGTTACGTTAATGACCATACATTACATCATTAGTTTTTGATGTAGTGTTCCATGATTCATTGTTTGTGCATAACACCCAGTGCTCCACGCAGAACGTGCCCTCTTTAATACCCATCACCAGGCTAACCCATCCTCCCACCCCCCTCCCCTCTAGAACCCTCAGTTTGTTTTTCAGAGTCCATTGTCTCTCATGGTTCATCTCCCCCTCCGACTTACTCCCCTTCATTCTTTCCCTCCTGCTATCTTCTCCTTTTTTTTTCTTAACATGTATTGCATTATTTGTTTCAGAAGTACAGATCTGTGATTCAACAGTCTTGCACAATTCACAGCGCTCACCATAGCATACACACTACCCAATGTCTATCACCCAGTCACCCCAGCCCTCCCACCCCACCCCCACTCCAGCAACCCTCAGTTTGTTTCCTGAGATTAAGAATTCCTCATATCAGTGAGGTCATATGATACATATCTTTCTCTGATTGACTTATTTCACTCAGCATAACACCCTCCAATTCCATCCACGTCATTGCAAATGGCAAGATCTCATTCCTTTTGATGGCTGCATAATATTCCATTGTGTATATATACCACTTCTTCTTTATCCATTCATCTGTCGATGGAAATCTTGGCTCTTTCCACAGTTTGGCTATTGTGGACATTGCTGCTATAAACATCGAGGTGCACGTACCCCTTCGGATCCCTACATTTGTATCTTTGTGGTAAATACCCAATAGTGCAATTGCTGGATCCTATGGTAGCTTTATTTTCAACTGTTTGAGGAACCTCCATACAGTTTTCCAGAGTGGTTGCACCAGCTTGCATTCCCACCAACAGTGTAGGAGCGTTCTCTTTTCTCCGCATCCCCGCCGACATCTGCCGTTTCCTGACTTGTTAATTTTAGCCATTCTGACGGGTGTGAGGTGGTATCTCATGGAGGTTTTGATTTGGATTTCCCTGATGCCGAGCGATGTTGAGCACTTTTTCATGTGCCTGTTGGCCATTTGGATGTCTTCTTTGGAAAAATGTCTGTTCATGTCTTCTGCCCATTTCTTGATTGGATTATTTGTTCTTTGGGTGTTGAGTTTGATAAGTTCTTTATAGATTTTGGATACTAGCCCTTTATCTGATATGTCGTTTGCAAATATTTTCTCCCATTCTGTCGGATGTCTTTTGGTTTTGTGGACTGTTTCTTTTGCTGTGCAAAAGCTTTTTATCTTGATGAAATCCCAATAGTTCATTTTTGCCCTTGCTTCCCTTGCCTTTGGTGATGTTTCTAGGAAGAAGTTGCTGCGGCTGAGGTCGAAGAGGTTGCTGCCTGTGTTCTCCTTTAGGATTTTGATGGACTCCTGCCTCACGTTTAGGTCTTTCAACCATTTGGAGTCTATTTTTGTGTGTGGTGTAAGGAAATGGTCTAGTTTCATTCTTCTGCATGTGGCTGTCCAATTTTCCCAACACCATTTGTTGAAAAGACTGTCTTTTTGCCATTGGACATTCTTTCCTGCTTTGTCAAAGATAGTTGACCATAGAGTTGAGGGTCCATTTCTGGGCTCTCGATTCTGTTCCATTGATCGATGTGTCTGTTTTTGTGCCAGTACCATACTGTCTTGATGATGACAGCTTTGTAATAGAGCTGGAAGTCCAGAATTGTGATGCCACCAGCTTTGCTTTTCTTTTTCAATATTCCTCTGTCTATTCGGGGTCTCTTCTGGTTCCATACAAATTTTAGGATTATTTCTTCCATTTTCTTGAAAAAAGTGGATGGTATTTTGATGGGGATTGCATTGAATGTGTAGATTGCTCTAGGTAGCATTGACATCTTCACAATGTTGGTTCTCCCAATCCATGAGCATGGAACGTTTTTCCATTTCTTTGTGTCTTCTTCAATTTCTTTCATGAGTATTTTATAGTTTTCTGAGTACAGATCCTTTGCCTCTTTGGTTAAATTTATTCCTAGGTATCTTATGGTTTTGGGTGCAATTGTAAATGGGATCGACTCCTTGATTTGTCTTTCTTCTGTCTTGTTGGTGTATAGGAATGCCACTGATTTCTGTGCATTGATTTTATATCCTGCGACTTGACTGAATTCCTGTATGAGTTCTAGCAGTTTTGGGGTGGAGTCTTTTGGGTTTTCCACATACAGTATCATATCATCTGCAAAGAGTGAGAGTTTGACTTCCTCTTTGCCGATTTGGATGCCTTTGATTTCTTTTTGTTGTCTGATTGCTGTGGCTAGGACTTCTAATACTATGTTGAATAGCAGTGGTGATAGTGGACATCCCTGCCGCTAGGGGAACAGCTCTCAGCTTTTCCCCATTGAGAATGATATTCGCTGTAGGTTTTACATAGATGGCTTTTATGATATTGAGGTATGTACCCTCTATCCCTATCCTCTGAAGAGTTTTGATCAAGAAATGATGCTGTACTTTGTCAAATGCTTTTTCTGCATCTATTGAGAGGATCCTATGATTCTTGTTCTTTCTTTTGTTAATGTATTGTATCGCACTGATTGATTTGCGGATGTTGAACCAGCCTTGCAGCCCAGGGATAAATCCCACTTGGTCATGCTGAATAATCCTTTTAATGTACTGTTGGATCCTATTGGCTGGTATTTTGGTGAAAATTTTTGCTTCCATGTTCATCAAGGATATGGGTCTGTAATTCTCCCTTTTGATGGGGTCTTTGTCTGGTTTTGGGATCAAGGTAATGGTGGCCTCATAAAATGAGTTTGGAAGTTTTCCTTCCATTTCTATTTTTTGGAACAGTTTCAGGAGAATAGGTATTAATTCTTCTTTAAATGTTTGATAGAATTCCCCTGGGAAGCTATCTGGCCCTGGGCTTTTGTTTGTTGGGAGATTTTTGATGACTGCTTCAATTTCCTTAGTGGTTATAGGTCTGTTCAGGTTTCCTCTTTCTTCCTGGTTCAATTTTGGTAGTTGATACATCGCTAGGAATGCACCCATTTCTTCAAGGTTATCTAATTTTCTGGCATAGAGTTGCTCATAATATGTTCTTATAATTGTTTGTATTTCTTTGGTGTTGGTTGTGATCTCTCCTCTTTCATTCATGATTTTGTTGATTTGGGTCATTTCTCTTTTCTTTTTGATAACTCTGGCCAGGGGTTTTTCAATCTTGTTAATTCTTTCAAAGAACCAGCTCCTAGTTTCGTTGATGTGTTCTACTGTTCTTTTGATTTCTATTTCATTGATTTCTGCTCTGATCTTTATTATTTCTCTTCTCCTGCTGGGTTTAGGCTTGATTTACTGTTTTTCCTCTAGCTCCTTTAGGCGTAGGGTTAGGTTGTGTATTTGAGACCTTTCTTGTTTCTTGAGAAAGGCTTGTATTGCTATATACTTTCCTCTCAGGACTGCCTTTGCTGTATCCCAAAGATTTTGAACAGTTGTGTTTTCATTTTCATTGGTTTCCATGAATTTTTTTAAATTCTTCTTTAATTTCCTGGTTGACCCATTCATTCTTTAGCAGGATGCTCTTTAGCTTCCATGTATTTGAGTTCTTTCCGACTTTCCTCTTGTGATTGAGTTCTAGTTTCAAAGCATTGTGGTCTGAAAATATGCAGGGAATGATTCCAATCTTTTGGTACCGGTTGAGACCTGATTTGTGACCTAGGATGTGATCAATTCTGGAGAATGTTCCATGGGCACCAGAGAAGAATGGGTATTCCTTTGCTTTGGGATGCAATGTTCTGAATATGTCTGTGAAGTCCATTTGGTCCAGTGTTTCATTTAAAGTATTTCCTTGTTGATCTTTTGCTTAGATGATCTGTCCATTTCAGTCAGGGGGGTGTTAAAGTCCCCCACTATTACTGTATTGTTGTCAATGTGTTTCTTTGCTTTTGTTATTAATTGCCTTATATAATTGTCTGCTCCCATGTTCGGGGCATAGATATTTACAATTGTTAGATCTTCTTGTTGGATAGACCCTTTAAGTAGGATATAGTGTCCTTCCTCATCTCTTATTACAGTCTT